TTTTCATTCCACCCCATCCCCCCAAAAAAAAATTAAAATTTGTTTTTAAAAATATTTCAAATTTCAAATTTTTATTTTTTCACCCCAACTCGCGACTCCCACCCCCCTATCAACCCCCCTATCCGCGATCCCCCATCAGTCCCCCACCCCTTTCAAAAAAAATTTAAGTTTGTTTTTAAAAAATATTTTTAAATTTTTATTTTTTTACCCCATCCCCACCCCTACCCGCGACACTCCCCATCAGCCCCCACCCCCCACCCACTCAAAAAAAATTTAAGTTTGTCTTTAGAAAATATTTTCAATTTCAAATTTTTATTTTTTCACCCCACTCCACCACTCCAAAAAAAAAATCTAAGTTTGTTTTTAAAAATATTTTCAATTTCAAATTTTTTATTTTTTTACCCCCATCTCACCCTTACCCCCCCTCCCCACCCCACCCTCCCTAAAAAAAATAAGTTTATTTTTTAAAAATATTTTCAGTTTAAATTCAAAAATTATTTTCTACTCTCTAGTAAAAATAAAAGGTATTTTCTCAAAAATATTTTCATGCATAAATAAAACACTTAAAAATATTTTTCAAAAAATATTTTCTACTCACCAACCAAACATGAAAAAATAAATCTAAAATCTACTTATTTTCTAGGAAAACATTTTCCTTCGTACCAAACACACCCTGAATTTCGGATGATCTAGAAATGATAGTGGGATATTACTTTTTGGATATTATAACATTGGCGGTGTTGCCTTACCCAATCAAATCCCAGTGTACAACTTATTAGTTGCCTCTTTATTAGATTTCTTTGTTTGAATGATTGATTTGTATGGGCAGAGTGAGTAGCTAGTTAGCTAGGGTCACTTTCACATAAACAAATTTTGTATGAAAACACATTTTTTGAACATGTAATAACCCATATATATCGCCTACTTGCTCGATGATTGATCAGTCCATGTGGCACATCTCTTTTATTTTTAATTTAATTTTGTAGAGCAATTGGAAAAACACTTTAATTTTGAACACTCCTAGTTTTTTCCTTTTCAATTATCACTTGGACTGTTGGACTTGGCATAAACAACTTTATGTTTTTTAATAATCTCTTTCGATGCTTTTACTCATATATTTTGAAATTTGTATGTTTCGTATGAAACAATAATTAATATGAGTATTTTTTTATAATATTTTTATTAATTAATATATAATTTTAGATTTTTAAAAATAATTTAGAAAATAATTAATTAGTGTTAAAGATAAAATAGGAGAAAAGCATTTTTATATGCTAAAAGTGATAAATAAAAGCGAAAATTATTTCTAAAATAGTAGACAATCAAAAATAAATTGAGGAAGTACTTCTACACCATCAAATTAGTTAAGGGATATGATTATCTAGTCATTTACTCACTTGTTTTTAGTTTTATATCTTTCTTTTGTAAGAGATCTGAAAAATTATCAGCTTTAATTTTTCTTTAATAAGAAATCTGTAAAAATTATTTGTATTCATGTAAATGGATAATCAATTCCTCGTTGATGAGCTAAGATACCTACAACTATAAGTAATTTTCATGACAATTTTGATATAATGTCTTTTAAAAAAAAATAAAATTAGAGTAAATAATCTGGTATAACATGTTTCATTTTGACTAATTTAAATATTCTTGTAGGCTGTAGCATTATATTACCTACATTCCTACGGCAAGGAAATTAAACCATCATATTGGGAAATATAGGTGGGGGATATATACGACTTGTCAAAATTAAAGTAAGGAATATATACTTAGACATCTCTTTTAATTTCTTCTTTTGTCGTTTTCTTAGAAACAACACAAAAAGAAACGTAAAGGTTGAATAAGGAGTTGTTAATTAGTTAACCAAATAAGTAAGCTTTGATTTGCAATAATTATGTGGTAGGATATTCTTGCCTTCATAGTTCTTGGCTTAAAGTCTTTACAGTACAAGTTTAGTGAATGCAACTTAAACCTAACACTCATTAATTACGAGGACATGCATGAAATTTTCTAGTACTTCTTAAAGGGTTATATAATTTTCCTTTTCTTTAGACTACTTCCTAACTACACTATTAAGAGATTAATTAGAAGCATATACGTAAGCGGCAGGAAATTAAACGGTTTCTATTTTATTAATTAGTCTTGTTCTTTAAACAATAACGTCATCATGACTGCATGTTTTACTACAACTCAAACCTCTATATATTAAAAATAAATTCACTATTATTATTTCTATATAATGTAATTAAAGGTCGAGAAAAAACTATCACATTTATACAGGAAAATAAGATTGTACTTTTTTTTGGAAAATTTCGAACGTACATAATTGTAAAATTTGTATAAAGTCTTTTTTGTTTTATTTTATTTCGACCAGACAATGAAAATGAAATCATTTAATTGGTACACCCATAAATCAAATTGACTAACTTTCCAAAATATAGTTCACATTTTTTTTTGATAATTTTATTTATCGAGTGATTTTACTAAACTTTATTCACTACGATAATAAAGCTAAAAATTTATTTTAAAAAAAAACATATTTAAACTGAAGTTCGTTGTATCTGATTCTTTTAGGAATCGTTGATTAACCCCAGTCCTGTGGTCATTCTCTTAGCCCACTCCTACAATTACTATTATTGTTATTTATTATCATAAAAATAAAATAGAACAAATATAGTGTTTCTATTTAATTTAAGAAAATAGTCTAAATTAAACTACAACTCCACCTCTTAATTTTTAAACATATCTAGTATAGATTTTTACTGGATTTCTAGCTAGATATCTTCACTAATCACTAACATGTCCTAATTGTAGCAGCAGGCATTTGTCAATTGTCATAATGTTGTGGTGAGGGTAAGTACGCAATAATAGTATATAATCTGTAGCAAGATAAATAATAATATTTCTTTCACATAACAAAAAAATTGTCCTTAAAGTCGATGCCTTTTAATAAACTTCTAAATTGGCGGCCAACCATCGTCATTATTTTTCAAAAGTACCGTAACCTATCCAAAGATTAAACAGAAAGTCTCACATTACGCACTAAGCTCCCTCTTCCTTCTACAACAACTACATAATTCCTCCAATTCTAACACGTGTAACATTTTCGTCAAAATAATGCCAAGCATGCACATTATGGAATGATATAGTGGATATTATTACATATAAAGAGAGAGGGGGGCGGACCTACATAAATAGGTTAGGATACACGTGCACTTGTTAACTTAAAAAAAAATCATTTATATATGTGTATATCTATTTTGAGAAACTGACAAAAACTAAATATAAGTTACAGTGCACCCATGAAAAGTAGATAGTGGCACTTTGTCCTGCTGGTGTGGCAAAAGAATCCCCCCTCCCGACCCACTTCCTTCTAGAACAAATCCACCATGACAATTGAAAGTTTCACTAATACTAAGTTAAGTTAATATTAGTGTACTCGAAATTTTCAAATTCTGAGTTCACCTCTCTATATAAAAGTGAATCCAAAGGAGGTCATATAATCACCAAAAATAAAATAATATAGAAAGATAAATATGTTTATTATAAATATACGGAAAAAATTATCTTTCTAATTGTAAAATAAAAATGAAATTGGGTATGTATACGAATGTATACGTATGTTATTGTTAATGTTTTTATAGAGAGAAATAAGAAGAATTGAGAATGCCCAAGGAAAGAAAGAAAAGAAAAAAGTCATTAAGCGTGCACATGGCCGACTCAACAACATTGGGGGCCTAAAGCGAAATTCAAGAGAGGGTCCCTAATATTTTTTTTTTCATCATGTAACTTTTATTTAAAATTTAATTTTCTAGCTATTTTAGATGCGAAATCATTAGGTACTGTTTTATAATCGATTTGTGTCAATAATTCATTTTCAAATGATAATATAGCTAATTGATTCAATCTCTTGTGGGCTATTGATCTTAAAGAAGATTTAATCAATTTTAATTTCGAAAAAACTTATTTTGAATGAGGCAATGGTTACAGGAATTGTTAACATTATTTTATAAGCAATATGTGTATTTGAAAAAGAATCAAGTCTTTTTATTTGATTGAGTATTTTCATTAGATCATTATCTTCTATTTGTATTATTTCTCTTCACACTTTAAATTTTAAAAAATAAATCTAAACCATCAATATCTGAATAACTATTACGTGTTAAAGAAAGTTCAAGGTTAAGACAATATTTTTTTTAAATTCTCATCATCTAGTGATCTCAATATTTTACCATTAAATGAGAAATCAAAAATATTTTCATATGCTTCAATTGGTCCAAATCTATTTTGAAGTGAAAAAAATAGTTTGATCTACTCTACATATATAAAGCAATCAACTCTAAAAGATTTTTCAAGGGACTTTGTGATTTCGCTATCCATATTTTCATCAAATTATTTCTTACGAAATTCAGGTTTATTTTCATCTCATATGCAATTTCCTTGGTAAAAATCATAACATTCATCGTACATATAATTTATTTTTTTAAAAAATAGAATCTCCAAAATATATAAGGCCCCAAACGATGACTTTAATGACTTAGGAGTTAAGACGGCCTGAGCGTGCAAGCAAATTGGAGTTTGTTAGGTGAGAAAGGAGAAAACTCTATCCACTTGCCAAGTTATAATATTGTCAAAATTTGAATCATACAAAAAAAAAAAAATAGACACTATTTTAAGATTAGTTTGAAAATCCATGACCCAAAAAGATAAACAAAAAAAAAAAAACTAACTTTACCAATTGAAGAATATGAATATGCACCACCTAATTAATTGAATTAAAATTAAACACAAAACACTTATCTATCAATTGTTGGTATCTATCAATTTATTATAGAAAACTTCAATAAAAAAATTAAAATCCATCCTTCACCCACTATTTCCTTCTAGTGCATTTCATTATTTTAATTTTAATTAAAGGAAATAAAAAAAAGGAGGTGACCTGTCACTATGCGACAAAAGCGTGTATTTTCTAAACAATGGGCCCTGCCTTATTAGACTTTGTTCCTCTTCGAAAAGTCTTCTAAATATTTCTAGAACCTCTTAGTAGATTAAATTTGCTATTCTCATTCTTTTTCTCTCTTCCATTTTCAACATTTTTTGTCCATTAAAGTTTTCAAACTTGAAGAAGAGAGAGAGAGAGAGAGAAAAGGCTGAAAATTCAACTTTTAGAGAAAGAAAAGATAGTTATGGTCGTGTTGTTCTTGGTGAAGATTGGCGAAGTTGTAGCCAATGGAAGATTCTAAGATAATCATCAATCGTCCTAAAAATAATATTGTTCATTCTCTAGTCTTTCTTTTCGGTTTCTATTGTTGGGGTTGGGAATTCCTCACTGCCCTTTTGCTTTTCAGTTACTGCTTCTTCTAATTTCCTCTTCTTTTTTTTCCTAATAGAATCTTGTCAATTAATTATTCAAATCCCCAAAGGGTTTTTTTTTTTAAAAATTTGATAGATTTAGAGAAAGAGGGGATGTCGCAAAGAATAGCGCCGGCGCCGTTTCTGTTGAAGACATATCAGTTGGTGGATGATGCGGCAACTGACGATGTGATATCTTGGAATGAAATTGGCACAACGTTTGTGGTGTGGAAAACTGCTGAATTTGCAAAGGATTTGCTGCCCAAATACTTCAAGCACAATAATTTCTCCAGCTTCGTTCGACAGCTTAACACCTATGTACGTCTCTTTTAAATTCTTTCTATTCTTTTGATTTGGTCTTTTAAACAATTACAATTTCTTAGGTTTAGAGTTTAGACAATTCGTAGATAGTTACTCCCAAAATATGTGATGCTTTTAACTTATAATTTTGTTTCAAAATAAGTTATGTTTCACATCAACTATATATTAAGGACGATTTTTTTAATGTTACTTCTATTTAAATAATAACAAAGATAGTTTAACTTCTCTTCTGAAAAAAGAATGACATATTTTTATATTTAAGTGTTCGTTTTATCATTAATGAAATAACTATAACCACACAAACATTCACTCATGATTTAATTTTAAATCATAAGTTTTTAAAAAGCTTGCTTTCAAAAATTGTATCTATATCACATGTATTAAGACAGGTAGGCTATATTTTTTTTAAAATTTTATGTCAAAGTTAACTAAATTACAGAATGGATGGTAGATATGACATATTTTCTATGGTATTTTTATTATGAATAAAGTAAAATTATATTTCATTTTTTTAATTTAGTAATGAATAAAAGATAGTTTCGTATGCTTTCGGGAAGGTTCGAGAAATCTTCTCCGCAGGACGTGAAGTCAATTATCTTATTCTGTAACACATCAAATATTTTCTTTATTTATTTTCCCTTCCTCTCTCTTAGGAATAAAGAAAGATGTTATATTATGCCACCCTCTCGAGGACATAAAGAGCCATATCCTCCCTCTCTTTCATCTCGTGTCTATACTTCAATTATTTTTTAAAATTTTAACAGTAATATTTAACTTTATTGAGTTGAAAATATATTTTGTATATATTAGTTTGATATGAATTTCCGAGAACGAAAAGATCTAACAATCTTTGTACTTGTATGAATTTGTATCGTGCACCTTTCTATCAATTGAACCCTTTCACGTGGTCCTTGGTGATAAGGAAAGATGTAGAAACAGTGCAGTGAATTATCGTTTGGGGATTTTGGATGTCATTTTCCAAAGAAGGTGACAAAAGTCCAATTGGAAACGTGGATTGTATGTGTGTTCCCCATCACAATGTTCTCCGCCTAGTGACCTTGTCCTACTCGTAGCTGGAATTTAGAAATTTATAAATAATGATTCTTTTCATAAAGTTGTAATTTTACAAATTAAATTCATTCTCAAATACTATTTTCTAATTTTTAAAATTATTTTTTTCCCCAACCAAGTATTATTCTTAAATTTTCTAATATCCGCGGGGGAAAAAAAGGTGAATCTTCCTAACAACCCATTTCTAATTGGGCATAACATGACAAAACTATGAAAGAAAAATGTTGTTGGTCAATTTTAGCTGCATAAGTTGGCTTATTAAAGTTATATTCACATCTTCCTAAAGTAATTTAAGTACTCTATTTTTTTTTTAGGCCTTTTGATAGCTGTCTTTTACCTAGTCTAATCCTCTAGAAGCCAAAAGAATACTAGTAATTATGGTTTTAAATTGTTAATAATAAAAAAATTAGAAAAGAGAATAGAGAACTGACTATTGGAATTATACCAAAAAAGCTATTGTTACGGTTTCCCTAAGTACCGGAAAACAATGATTAATGAACTTTTACCCGGTGTTTAATGGAGTGAATATATAGATTTGTTAACCATGGTTAAGTTATGTTATTGCATATTTATACACATGGCATGCGTTTATTGATTTGTTGTTAATATCTGGTATGTGAGTTTTTACCCTCGCTTGGTGCCCACATGCACACATCAAATCCATGTTAAGAAGTGTTAGGTGAAGAGCAACATCTAGTATTACCAAGATAGTTAAGATTATCTATAACATTAGTTGTGGCTATTTCTTTGTCACCAAAAAGTTTGTGCTCATTTTTTCGGCATCCCTTTTCAATGCAGGGTTTTCGAAAGATTGTGCCTGACAAATGGGAATTCGCCAATGAGAACTTCAAAAGAGGACAGAAGGAGCTCCTCACAGCAATACGCCGTCGGAAGACCGTGACATCAACCCCAGCTGGTGGAAAGTCTGTGGCAGCCGGGACTTCAGCATCTCCGGACAATTCCGGGGATGACATAGGTTCAAGTTCAACCTCGTCCCCGGACTCCAAGAACCCGGGATCCGTGGACACCCCGGGAAAGTCGTCCCAGTTCACGGACTTGTCGGATGAGAATGAGAAGCTAAAGAAAGACAACCAGATGCTGAGCTCAGAGCTGGTGCAGGCGAAGAAACAATGCAACGAGTTGGTTGCCTTTTTGAGCCAGTATGTGAAGGTTGCACCCGATATGATCAACCGTATCATGAGCCAAGGAACCCCATCGGGGTCCAGCCTTGAAGAGTTGGTCAAGGAGGTTGGTGGTGTTAAAGATTTAGAAGAACAGGGTAGTTATAATGACAACGATGATAAAGAAGACGATGACGAAAAGGGTGATACTCTGAAACTATTCGGTGTGTTGCTGAAAGAAAAGAAGAAGAAAAGGGGTCCGGATGAGAATATTGATACTTGTGGGGGACGTGGTAAAATGATGAAAACTACTGTGGACTACAATGGTCCTTGGATGAAAATGTCTTCGGCGGCCGGAGAAAGCAGCAAGGTTTGTAACTGAGGTGAAGTTGATGAATGTGTTTTGAGGTTGGAGCAGAGTAAATTAGCTTCTCCCTTTTGATTTAGTAATTTCCTTTGGATTTACAAGTTTGATGTTTATGAATAAAATAAATAGAGAATTTAATTAGTATGAGTAGTAGAGGGGTTAGATTACTGCTAAGAGTAGTAACCCCAACCCCCAACTAGAAATCATATATATTACACATATATACAAAATACTATCAAGTCAGATGCAACTGCTGCAGCCCTCAAGTTTGCTTTGTCTAGTCGAAACTCATCATAATAATAATCGTTCTTGATTTGTGACTTTGGTTTGATATGTATATGCATTTTATCATTATGTTCAGTGTGAAGCATTTTATTTGAGCCGGATGTTTTTTTGAAAAGAGCTTTTTATGTTTTCATAAGACAAGATTGTGTACACATAATTTACTTGTGATATTATATATGCATGATAAGTTTTGTTGTTTTTGTATTTTGTTTGAAGCATAAGTCTTGTCATGGTCTTAATTAATATCATGATATGTGGTGAGGTCGAAATTTGACTTTTTTAGTGTGCAACTGTAGGTTGATTTCATTATAGATAATATGTTCAACTGCTATTGTGGTATCCTGTACTACTCAGACTAATATGTTCAAATGCTTTTCATATATTTGACTTATTCTCTAAACTATTTTCTTCCTGTTACATGTGTGTTTGATGCTTCTTGAAGCTAGGGTTGTCCAGGTATATAGTAGGTTTGATCAAGTTTTTTATTTTGTTTTGATTCAGGTGATGCGAGTCGACTCAATATGATGTTTTTAAAAAATATAAATTAAAGAAAAATTTACGCTTAACATGTGTGTAGCTTAAAATAGTTTTTAAACTTGTAGTTTAGACACTGTAATATTATGTGGCATCAAAACTTTCTATTAAATTTTTTTAATATTGAAATCAAGACTTCCAAATTACAACATAGAAATGTCTAATTCTTCACGGAACATAGAAATAAGTAAATAATTTTGGAAAAAATACATAACTACACATCATTTTTTACCCTATTTTCTATTATTCCCTACCATTTTAAAAAATTACAAAAATCCCTCTTCTTCATAATTTCTCTAACTTCTCCGGATACATCACTATAAACTGTCACCACTAAATTTTTTACTTATTTTAGTAACCAAAAATGGACTTACTATTCTTTATTATTAGGTATATATAACCATGTAAGCCCATATATTTTTCTCCTTGTCTTTTCCTTCATCCTCCTCTGTTTCTCTGTCGCCTTCCTTTGATCTTTTTCTCATTTTTTTCCATTATCAAGCCCTTGATTGTTAGATTTATTTTGAGTTGTTTAGAGTAAGATTGAGCTAATGTCCATTGAAATCCGTTATTGAAGAGTGTTAAAGCTTAAATTTTAAAATTCGATCTATCTCTCAACTCGCAAACATGAATCGTATCGAAGTAAAATATCAAAAAGCTCGAAACATTGAGATCAAGATGAGCTCATATCTCACATTTAGGTCTGTTTAGAGAATAATTTAAAAAAAAATACTTAATTCGTTGAAGAAATGAATTGTTGCAATGTATACCTCTTATATACACTATTTATACAATTTACCTACACCTCAATCAAGATTTTTATTCAAATATTATTCAATATAATTAATTAATACAGTTATATTTTTTTATTATACATTGGAAACTAATCTAATCTAGCGGGTGGATCTTTTAAATTTTTTTTAGCCAGCTGGCTAAATTAGCAAGAAACCAAGAAAATCCTACTCGTACTCAAAATAAATAGTGGTGGCCCATTGGGCGTAACCCGGATCTTCAAGTATTTCCTTCTCTCCAATTAAAATATCAAACGCTCTTCTTCTCTCAGCGTCTCTTCTGTTTGCATTACATCTGACAAAGGAGACAACAGATACAGATTTCCCAATATAAATTATGGTAAATCTTCTTTATAATTTCTATTTCAAAAAATAAAATATGATTTTTTCCCCTCCATTGATGTCATGTTTTATTAATCACAAATATTAGATCATCTTCATGCGTTTGCAAAGTGGGCATATTTTATGCAATTTAATATTCTCTATGTTTGCTGATTAAAAACAAAACCCCCAAAATATATAAAATTATGAAAAACTAGATGAATCAATGTCAATTACTCATTTAGAAGGGAAGATAGGAAATATTTTTAATGTCCTTCGACTGAGATAATTTGATGATTATTGATTTTGTTTTTAGGATTTTTGGGTGCAAATATCTGTTTATTTATATTTTGCTTGTTATTGACCAAGAACATCTTTTGATCAGTTTATGTTGACCAAAATCTGACTTATCCTGGTCAATTTTCTTACTATAGTGAAGATATTTTCTTATGAGATTATGACTTGGAAATTTATGATTCAGAAAACTGTCCCTACTGTGACACAACAATGCGGAATTTTGCTGATTGCTATATTAATTTTGTTGATCTCATTAGTTAGAGACTCTTTTGGCAAAGGTTTACACATCTGCTTTCTTTTCTTTATGTCGCTTTCCCTATCTTTGGTTAGGGTCAACGTAATTCGATTAAACCGCTTGGATTTTTTTTCCCTGATGGTCAACGTATCACCTATTCTTCCCACATTTTGACTTGTCTTTCTTCTGACTTTTTTTAGTAGATAAGATTAGGATGAAAGGTTTCTTTTCTCTTCTCTTCACTGGCTTGCTCTTTCAAATGAAATTTTGGCTGGCAGTAGTACAATTGGGAGAGCCTGGGGAGAAATAGTTTAGTTGTAAGATTGTAACACATGATTTGTGGGTTAGGCACACGTCTCAGATTTGAACTCTTTAACATTAAAAAAAAAACTGAGTAGTATTTAAGGGAGATATATCTTTTAGAGTTTACCCTAAGATGGTTTATTTAGATGGAGAGCTTTATGCTATGGCTGATTACACGAGCAATATTATTGTAAATTGATGGATGAATTCGTGGAAGATGCCAATGTGTTAAACTATGTTGTGGTTTTACCTGTAGATCTTATGATTTTTCATGTATTATTACACATTTCAAATGAAAGTACAATCTCATTTCATATTTTTGTCTTTTTACTTGGGAACAAACTGTATTTTGCCTACCTGTGTATCTATCTTATCATCAGGCAAGCGTAAGTAGAAAGATCTCAAGAAAGGAGACTAGAAACCGTCACCCTGGGTTGACGCAGCAAAAAAGGCAAGAGATCAAAGAAGCATTCGAGCTCTTTGACACCGATGGCTCTGGTATGGAAGTGTTTCTATCCTAATACATATTTTTGCCTGTGTTTAACAGATTTTTGTACGCGTTCTCTTAAATGTAGTATTTTTTTCCTAACTCCTACTGTTCAGGAACTATTGATGCCAGTGAGCTGAATGTTGCTATGAGGTTTGGTAACTTCTTTTCTGAAGTTAAATCAATCTAATTAGTTCTTTTACACAGTTATGTAACTTCTATTGCAGGGCCCTTGGATTTGAAATGACAGAGGAGGTAATTTTTCAATCCCATTGAATCCTTCTAGTTTACGTCTTCTTCTGGATCATGATTAATAATGTTACGTACATGTCCAACGGACCTTTTGTTTTCAGCAAGTTGAGCAGATGATTGCTGATGTTGACAAGGATGGTAGTGGTGCAATCGATTTCGATGAATTTGTACACATGATGACTGCCAAAATAGGGGAGAGGGACACTAAAGAGGATCTCGCGAAAGCATTTAACATACTAGACCAAGATAAAAATGTAAGTTGTCCACAGAGTTTTGAATCGTGCTCCACCAATCCCTTGGGAATTTCTCGGCTATAGAAAGTATGTAAGGCCTTATAATAATCTATCTTGAGAATGCAGGGGAAAATATCTGCTGCTGACATTCAGCAAATTGCCAAGGAGTTGGGAGAAAATTTCAGCGCAAAAGAAATACAAGAGATGATAGAGGCAGCAGATCGTGATCGTAAGTTCATTTCTCTCATGCCCCTACATTCTTCCTTAAATTTATCGTTTCCAGTTGGATGAATCCATTTTTAAAGTATACTTTGGGTCATCTTTATACGAGCAACTTTCACATATAGCAAATATAAAAAATCATATTTGTATGTTATAACTATAGTTTGTATAATGGTGCAGCTATGAAGCATCAGATTGTATAACTCGCTGGCAGGAGCTTCAGATTTGTATACATTTGTATATAAATCGCTGGCAGCTTCTCGGTTGTATAAATCGTTGGCAGCCTCTCAATTAAATTTTATGTGTTTGTATATCTGCATAAAATTTGAATTTGTATACAATTAAATCGAAATAAAACATTTGTATATCAAATCTCTCTCTTGCTTTATACAACACAAATTATACATTGTAATTTGTATAATCTGTGTTTGTATTAAGCGAGAAAGAGAGAGGCAAAAGAGAACTGGCAGGGGAAGATCTGTATTTGTATAATTATAAGTGTATAGGACAAAAATATATGTATTCATATTTGTATATACAGTTTTCTCTCGCTTTATACAAACACAAACATATTTTATAAATTTGTGTTTGTATAAAAGCGAGAGAGGCGAGGGAAAGACTGCGAGAGTGGCAAGTGAGAAACCTAGGGAGAGAGGCGAATGACAACTGTTTGCTACGGGCTACAATTAAATCAAACTATGGTTATAACATTTAATTTGAATTAATAGTTTGCTATTTTATACAAATTTTCCTTTTTATACAGGTGATGGAGAAGTAAGTGCGGAAGAGTTTATGAGGATCATGAGGAAAACCAGCTTCGCAAACTAGTAGTACAAAATCATATTTGTGAAGTTAAAAAAGCTTCTTTTTTTTCTTCTTTTTTTTACAAGTTGCTTGTCATTCTCTTTTTCACTTATCATATCTCTGTCTGCTCTGTCTTGTATTGTATATATATATATACACACACATTTATAAACAGGCTATTTTTTCCCACTGAATGAATGAAAGAAAACAAGTATTACTATTGAAACTTAAAGGGAGTGTTATCCTTGCATTTGCACAGCTACATTTTTGTACATAAAATTGATGATACATAAAAGAAGTTCTTAATGTGATGAACAAACAATGCAGAAGAAAGATATGCACGGCAAGTATAGCCAGATTAAGAAGAGTTTGAGTTAAAACTTAAAAGTGCAATTAGACGTGATTGCCAGCTTTATACAATTTAGATTTCTAAAAATAAAATTTCAAGAGAAGAGTATGATATATGAGATATTACATTTTAAATAACCAAAGTAGGATTATTTTAATAGAGAACGGTTACCGAACTACTATGTGATAAAAGGTAGTAACAGGATATTAAACAAAGTCAAATACAAATTCTACGATGTAGTTATAAGGCCATCAACATTATAATACTGGAAAGAAACCACATGATTCTAAGGTATTTTTAACGGTATTATACTTGTTTAGTTTGTGCCTCAGAAAAGTATGCTTCAAAAATATTCTATCCGGTAAATATCATTATTATAAATATCAGATAAAACATGCAAATAGAGGCGAACCCAAAGATGAGAGGAGCAGTAGATTGAGATTCGATATACGTTCATTTCTCAAGGTATATAAATATATATACCAGATACAAAAGTCCGCATCCAATAGATATTACTTTATTTATTTTAATTTATGTGACACATAAAATTAGGAGAATTACTAAATTTTTAAACATTTTTTGTTGTTAATTATTTTTATAATATTTTTAACGTACTTTTCATACAACATTTGTGGCACATGTGATATTTTCTTTATTATTGTAATTTATAATACTTTTAACGTAATTTTCAAATAATATAAGTTATTAACTCTGTCACAACTTATGCAACACATGTGATATTTTGAAGTCAACCAAATTTTTAGTATGTTTATTTTTTAAGTATTTTAAGTTTTAATTATTATGACTTATAGTGCTCTTAATTAACATAATTTTTAAATAATATATGTTATTTTCTGTTTCCAAATTTATGTTGCACAAGTGAAATTTTGAAAGTTAAGCAAATTTTTAATATGTTTTTAAATATTTTAAGTTGTGATCTATAGTACTTTTTAACTTAATTTTCGAATAATCTATGTTACTCATTCTATCCCAACTTAAAATTTTGTACTCAACCAAATTTTTAGTACGTTTTTCAAATATTTTAAGTTGTTAATTATTGTGATCTTAATGTAATTTTCAAATAATATATGTTACTTCCTCAGTCCCATGTATGCAGGTGAACTTTCGAGTTGACCAAATTTTTAATATGTAAGTTGATTTTTAGTATTATTTTTGAAAATACATAACATATAAAAAAGAAAAAGGACAAATAAATTAAAATGGATAAAATATTAAATAAAATATAAATAAAGAAAGTTGAAGGATCGGAGAAGGGTAAACGGTCAATTGACTGGCTGACCTTAGGCTCCTCAACATTGGCTTCTAATATATAGTAAATTTTTTCAAAGTTAACTAGTGCGCATGTACTCAAATCATTCCACATAAATTCGTCTCTGTTTCAAAATAAAATTAATCCTGGTATATAAAAAGAAATATTAAATATATACATAACATTTATAAATTGAGTCGTATAACAGTAACCTCTGTTAGTTAAAGTTGAGAGGCTTTTAGGCCTCCTTCCAGAACCTTCGAGGATTAGATCTGTCGTAATTCCTAAATACGAGAATGTTGCATTATCAAATGCATATATGCATACAAGAATCACAATGTACTCTGAGTTTTATGAAATACAGCGGACTGAACTTTTACGTGGCCAAAAACGCCGTCAGATGGAGGCACAAATGGCATACAGACTGACTCACCGCGTGTGCACGCAGTTATTGATTCAGCAGTATACACAGCCAATCAAAATTAAATCGATCGACTATTTTAGTATAGATATAGAGTTTGTCTTATATACATTATTATTATTATTTTAGTATAAAAAAAAATCATATTCTCCATCGGGATACGTTTGCCTTCCAGAACCTTCGATGATAACATGTTCTAATTCCTACATAAGAGGCTGTTGCGGTGTCAAGTGCGTATTTGCCATAAAATGTAGTTTGAAATTTATGAAAGAGCCACGACAACTCAGCACAGCGGACTGAACTTCCTCAGTGTTACGCCGTCAGATGGTGCACAAATGGCATACAGACTGACTCACAGCGTGTGCATGCACTTAGTGATTCAGCACCTTACATAGCCAACCAAAACTAAATCAAAATAGAGTTTGCCTAATATTAAACATTATTATTACCAGGAGTACTTAAAATTAATATTACTATTCCTGGTTGGAAATTTTTTCATAATTTAAAAAAGTTTAAACAAATAAATTATTACTTAGGACTTTTTTTCGTATTTATCCTTCAGATAATGAAGTTTTTTATTACTTTTTTTTTAAATAGACTAATTTAAAATTAATTAAAGGAGTAATAAAAATAATAAAAAATATATTTTATTTATGTCTAAATTTTTTATTTAAAGACTATATCATGCCCCCAACAATTTAATTAATCTAAAATTTACTAGAAATATAAAGTTCAATTTTTGGATGCTTTTGTAAAGCTCCTAAAGTTCTAAGTTCTTTCCAAAACCTACGAAGATATTTTTTTTAGTAACTATAGAATGTACGAATTTGCTTTGCTGCTAAGTGGAAAGATCCATTTGCTCATTAATTACGTGGCATATATATAAGTCAACCTCGTGTGCATTCAGTGTTCCAGCTCACCCCACCCCAGCCACATATCCATAAACGAAATCTATAAATAAGCTATCAACTTATCCATGTCAACTCATTACTACTACAGCAAATTTCTTATTTTTTGGGGAAAAAAAAAAAAGAATGGGTAGTATTTTCTGTCAAGATTGTCAACTTCGAGAGAATCAATGTTATACACACAAGCTGACTCAAAACCAAGAATATGACTACATGGTGTCAGCTCTCCGACATGTTGTCTCCGGCGCCGGCGATGCTGCTCAGCTTTTGTTGGAAGTTCAAAATGCGAGTGGTGGTTCAGCCACGTCAGCTAATTTAATGCCACGTAGGAGCATTGATGTGAAGTTAGAGAAGGGTAAGAAGAGGAGAAGGAGAAATACGAAGAAGGAATTTAGGGGAGTTAGACAAAGACCATGGGGAAAATGGGCCGCAGAGATACGTGACCCGCACCGAGCCCAACGAGTTTGGCTCGGTACTTTTATTACTGCCGAAGATGCTGCTAGAGCTTATGACAAAAAAGCTATAGAATTTAGAGGTGAAAAGGCGAAAACCAACTTTCCTATCACAGAATATGCTGCTGCTGCCATTAATGACGAGATTAACAAGTTGCCAACTGTAGTAATGGAAGAAGAGAGAGAATTATTAGTACAAGTCCTTCATGGTGAAAATAGTAGTAGTAGTATGCAAAATGGTGATGACGACGACTTTTGGGAGACATTAGAAGATGATGGACTTGTAAAGCGGATCACACAAGATATGTTCTTCTGATCCTCTATTCGGCTTAATTAGTTTTTTTGTCTGAAAATATCTTTATTCTTTGGTTTGTTTGTCGTTTTCTTCAACTTCTTTTGAGTGGCTACTGAGGAGTGGTAGGAAATATCTTGTACTAGTGTTGAGTAATAATAATAATGTACTCAAGTGTTAAGAGACTGCAATCATATATATACAAATATATAGTTTATATATTAAATATTATGCGTTAAATACATAAAATAACTTTTTTATGATTCGAGGTTATCTGATAAAATTTGATGATTATTTGTCGGATAAAAGAATTTATTACCCTTGTTTCTTAAAAAAAAAATATACATATTCTATAGAGATGCCCCCATCGGTTTTTTTCTTAATTTCCTAAATTTGCCTGACTATAACATAGTGTTCTTTATAACAATAACATGCTTTAAAAATATTAATCAATTAGCTAGATGTCATCATAGAACTTTATTCTATCTCATCTCCTTCAACAAATAACCCTTGATAGAGGCTTTTACGTTTTCCTTCCAGAACCTTCGAGGATGACATGTTCTACTTCCTAAATACGAGAATGTTGCGGTGTCAACTGCATATTTGCCTACGAACTTTTTTTTTTTGGTTTCTCACCTGGTGTTCGGAGTCCACATTAGAGCTCCGATTAATTCAAATTGCCCTCTTCAGGTCCATTCGGGGGTGGCGCTCCCAACAAGATTTTCTTCATATCTAAGGCTTGAATCCAATACTTCTGATTAAGGGTGATGCACTCCCACCAGTGAACCACAACTCATGTTGGTCATATTTGCCTACGAACTGCTAATTAAGAATCACAAATTAGTCTGATTTTTATGAAAGAGCCACGTCAACTCAGCACAACGGACTGAACTTCCTAGGTGTTACGTGGCCCAGCAAAGCCGTCAAATGGAGGCACAGATGGCATAAAGTATGGCTCACCACGTGTGGATGCAATTAGTGATTCAGTAGCTTGCCCAGCCAACTGAAGTCCATAACTAAATCGAGTATTTAAGTACCCTCTGTCTTATAGCATTATATTATGTCTGTATTAATTGATTATCTTAGTTTAAAATAATGTCTAATATTAGTTGTTCACCTTATTAGATCAAGAAAAAAATTAATTAAAAGTTTCATATATTACCCTTACAATAAATATTTTTTAAAGTGTTCACATTTATTTGTAAAATTCTCAAGAAGTTTATTAAGATGTAAAAAATTATCTTCTTATGTGTGATTCTTTACTATGTGTGTACAAAAGAAAATGATCAACTAATATGGAATAAAGGGAGTATTATAATACTTAAAATTAATTTAAAATCCAAATTACAACTCCCTCTATGTTAAATAAATTGTTTGAAAAAAATTTCAAAGTTAAAAAATAAGTGAATTATTGATTTTTCTTTTTTTATTTATCTTTCATTTAATGAGATTTTTTAACTATTTCATATTTTTTAAGATTATAATTTAAAAAATATATATTTAAAAAAACAACATATATCTAAAATATTTTTCTTAATAGAGTACACAATAATTCATTTAATATGTAGCAGAGGGCAGCTGAGGGAATAGTACTTTTTTTTGGGGTTAGTATTAGAAATATAGAGCAATTCGGAGTAGTAGTTATCTCCGAATGAAGGAAGCTTCTATATATAGAAAGTCCTAAGTTCTTTCTAGAACTTACGAATTTAGTGACTACAGAACCTACGAATATGTCACATGGGCCAATTTTTCGCAAAATAGCCACGTGGAGTAATCAGAGTTGCTCATTACGTAGCCTACATATGAGTTAACTTGGTGTGCAGTATGTGTACCAGCTCACTCCACTGAAGCCACATATACCCAAAACAAAATCAATAAATGAGCAGACAGTAGTTCTCTGATCCTACACTATATTTTACTCTCTAAATATAAAATATTTTATTTTTTGGATAATCAACTCCAATTTAATTTTCTATTTTACTCTCTAAAAAAGAATTTTTCTCTCTCTTTTAATATTATATTATTATTTCTATTTCATTCTTATTTCATAATATAAATACTTTATTTCTTTTTCCCAATAATTACTTTATATAATTTTCATGTTATATAAAATTTTATTTTTTCAATTTTTTTGTTTAATATAAAATTATGTTTTATTCTAAATTTTTAAATAACATAAATTGTAAGAAAATATTATATAATATACAAATTAATGGACAAATTTAAATAAAAGTGAAACACAATTACATACACTCAATTTTCAAAATTATTACGTTGCTCCCATAAATGCTCTATTAATGCATTACGGAGTTCAAAATGAACATTTTGTCCTTAATTTTTTTTTATGTCTAGCTAAAAATTGTTCAAACCGGAGATTTTCATCTACCACCATTTCTGTCGTTGGAGTTGGAGTCTCTACGACATCTTGAATTGGTGCATTAAGTTCATATTCATCCTCAATTATCATGTTGGACAGTATAATACATGTAGTCATTATATCATGTAGCACTTTCCTTCTCCAAAAACGTGACGACCCTGCTATAATTGCAAAACGTGATTGCAAAATTCCGAATGCACGTTCAACATCTTTTCGGCATGATTCTTGTTTCATTGGAAATTAATTATTATGTTATGTATTGTATTGTATTTTATCTTGTATTTAAATTATTATGTCATGTATTGTTTTGTTATCTTGTATTTAAATTATCATATTATGTATTGTATTTTTGAATTAAATTTTTCATCTTATCATTTTAATTTTGTGTATTCTTTATAGTGAAAATTAATAGTAAAATCAAATTATATTATTGACGAAAATTAGAAAAAATTAAAATACTATTTATTCGGGATGAAAGTAGTATATATTAAATAATATGTTCTTAAAAATATTATATTACATTTAAAAATAGTTATGAATATTAGATATTTAATTAATGACATTATTTATAAAATAATATGTTAATTAGAAAGTAATAAAAATAATAATAAAATATTTAAAAAGTGAAATAGAGTGTGAATAGTAGTTCTCTAAACTATTATTCACCTCTCTAAATATGAAGAATAGAGAGTGATATTGAGATGGATTGGAGATTTGGAGTGCGCATTCTCTATTTTACTCTCCAAATATAGAGAATTAGGAGTAAAATAGAGGTAAATTGTAGATAGTCTTATATATCCATGTCAAATCATTAACAACTACAAATAAATTCAGCTTATTTTAGAAAAAAAAATGAATAGATTCCGTCAAGATTCTCTACTTCAAGAAAATGACTGTTATACCCTCGCACACAATTTGACTGAAAATCAAAAACTTTACTACATGGTGTCAGCACTCCGACATGTTGTCTCTGGCGTCGGCGACGGCCGAGCGGACGGCGAAGCTGCTCAGCATTTGTTGGAAGTTCAAAATGCTAGTGGTGGTTCAGCCACGTCAGCTAATTCGATGCCACGTAGGAGCGGCATTAATGTGGAGTTGGGGAAGGGGAAGAAGAGGAGAAGGAGGAATACGAAAAAGGAATATAGGGGAGTGAGACAAAGACCATGGGGAACGAGTTTGGTTGGGTATTGAGCAACTTTCACATATAGCAAATACAAAAATTATATTTGTATGTTATAAGTATAGTTTGCATAATTGGGCTCAATAACAAATATAAATATGTATATTTCGCTATACATATACAAAAGAAAGCAGTTGTATATAATCTGTTTCTGTTTCAGTATACATATACAAAAGATCAATTGTATAATCTATATTTGTATAAATGGAGAAAGAGAGAAAGACAAAAGAAAACTGGGCAGAGAAATATGTGTATTGTATAATTATAACTGTATTGGACGAAGATATATGTATTTGCATGTGTATATACAATTTTCTCTCGCTTTATACTAACATAAACACAATTTATACATTTATGTTTGTATAAGCGAGAGAGGTGAGGGAGAGACTGGCGAGCGAGATCTGGGAGAGTGACGAGCGAGATCTGGGAGAGGGGAACGAAAATATACGTATATATACAATTTTCTCTCATTTTATACATTTGTGTTTGTATAAAAGCGAGAAGACGAGAGATAGAACGAGAGTGGCGAGCGAGATTTACCATGAGAGAGGTGAAATAACAACAGTTTGTTATGGGGTACAATTAAATCAAACTATGTTTATAACATTTAATTTAAATTAATAGTTTACTATTATATACAATTTTCCCTACTTTCATTACCGCCGTCAAATGGTGCACCTATTTTGAGACATATGTGATGATTATTTTCTTTTACATTTTTCCTTATTCTTCATCTTTTATCTCTTTTGGTGGTTGTTTTTTTTGTCTTCTGTAGTCTGATTTTGCAGGAGAGATCTATGATGAAGATTGTTAGATATTTTTGTGCAGTTCGATTTTATAAGGTAAAACTATTTGATGCTCCTAATATAGTGATCACTTTTTCTCTGTTGCAATTATACATTCAATATTATTATTTTTAAATTCATGATAATATGAATCATGAATATTTTTAGAAAAAATTAAAATTGTTTGATTTTTTCTCTTTGCTTCTTTTTGTAGTTTATAAAGATTATTTTTTTCTTTATATTGTTGTTTTTGGAGCATTAGATTATGTTATGTTGATAACAAAATTCTTCCTTTATTTTTAACTCATAATTAAATGTTCTTTAAAGGTTTTTATTTGATTAGTTAACTTCATTTTTATATATTTTTTTGTTGTTATCGTATGGTTGACTTATTTTGTTTTCATGTCAGGATATTTTTGAAAATAGTAGCTGAAAAGAAAATCAACACATACATGTATGCTACTCAATAAAACATGTATATATAATTTTGTAGTCATGTAAATCCATTTTAATAATTATTATGATGGATCATGAGAATGTAAAGTTAATTCATAGTTTTTAAAATATTGTGTAATTTATAAAAAAAATGTGTATTGATATGGGAACTTTGAAGTTTTCATATTTTTATTTTTTTATTTTTTATTAATATTAATATTGGATGTTCTCAAGTTTTTGAGATTTTCAGAGATCACTATTACAATCTGTTTGATCAAAAATTAAAATACAAAAGTATTTGTTTAGGATAAAAATGATTTAGTAAATTCATTCTCTCTCAATCTACTTTCTTCTTATTTATCTTTCTATTTTCTCTTCTTTTTTTTTGACAATTTTTCTGTTTATTTATTACTTATTATTGTACAAAAATAAATGTATCAGTTACTGCTCCTCCATTAATTCATATTTTTTAATATAAAAATTTAAGTGTCTTTATTTTCCATACCTTAGTGACTTTTGGTGATCATAACTCCTAAATTATATTAATAATCATGTTCATGATATCATTTGCTAATTCATATTATTGTCCTATAAATAGAGGCATTATAAAAATAATTATAAAAAAATGATCGAATATTATATATTAAAAACAAAAAAATAATTTCCTTAACTCTTTTTTTTTTAGAAATTTTTTAAATTCCATCATTTAATTTTCTCAATAACAAGTTTATGTTAAAAGTGTTAAAAAGGATCATATATATAAATTAATTTTCTTTTTAACAACATAAATGGGGTGTAAATAAGGATACTAAGAATCATATCTTTTTCTTTTTTCTTTTTATCAAAATAAATGTGTATATATGATTAATGTGTTAATAAATTTATTATTATTGAAAGTAGTTTCTTTTATTTTTTCTACATTAAAGAATGACTTATCCTTTGGAGAGTTATTACTCCAATTTATTTTTATTTTTATATCATTTATACAAAAAGAACGTCATGTAATTTATGATCGAATAGATTTAATAGTGTCAACTAAAGCTTTTCATATCAACGTTTATAGTTTCACCTGTTTTTATTAGTATGGAATTTTTTTTTGTGAAGAAGTAATATCAATGTCGTATTTTAATGTGTGTTTCTCTCTTTTATTATTAATAGTGAAATTAATTCTTTAAAAATATGTTAAAGTTATTTTATAACCACGCAAAGCGCGTTCAAATACACTAGTTTAAAAATATAAAGTTCGATTTTTGGATGCTTTGTTACCTTCGAATGTAAAGCTCCTAATGTTCTATTTTCTTTCCAAAAAAAACGTACGAAGATATTTTTTTTAGTAACTATAGAACGTGCGAATATGCTTTGCTGTTTCGTGGTAAGACCCGGTTGCCTGTTTTGACTGTAAATAAAACAGATTTGCTCATTAAGTCAACCTCGTGTGCATTCAGTGATCCAAAAGTCAAAAGGAAATTTATAAATAAGCTCACAACTTATCATTACTGCTACAACAAATTTCAGGAGTATTACTTCTTATTTTAGGGGTAAAAAGGAAGAATGACTACTATTTTCTGTCAAGAGAATGAATGTTATACCCTCGCACACAAACTGACTCAAGACCAAGAAAATTACGACATGGTGTCAGCTCTCCGACATGTTGTCTCCGGTACCGGCGATGGTAGGGTGAACGATGAAGCTGCTCAGCTTTTGTTGGAAGTTCAAAATGCATTTAGTGGTTTGCCACGTAGGAGCAACATTGATGTGGATTTAGAGAGGGGGAAGAAGAGGAGGAGAAATACAAAGAAGGAATTTAGGGGGGTTAGACAAAGACCATGGGGAAAATGGGCCGCTGAGATACGTGACCCGCATAAAGCCCAACAACTTTGGCTTGGTACTTTTGTTACCGCTGAAGATGCTGCTAGAGCTTATGACAAAAAGGCTATAGAATTTAGAGGTGAAAAGGCTATAACCAACTTTCCTATTACAGAATATGCTGATGAGTTTAACAAGTCGCCAACTGTAGTAATGGAAGAATTAATACAAGTCATTAATGGTGTTGAGGTGGCTGTTAATGGTGAAAATAGTATGCAAAATGGTGATGAGGACGACGACTTTTGGGAGACGTTAGAAGATGATGGACTTGTCAAGCGGATCAATATGTTCTTCTGATCCTCTCTCTATTTTTGGGTCTGAAAATATCTTTATTCTTTGGTTTGTCTGACGTCGTTTTCTTCAACTTTTTTTAAGTGGCTACTAAGGAGTGGCAGGAAATATCTTGTATTATTGAGTAATAATGTACTCAAGTGTTAAAGAGGCTGCAATCAAATCATATATAGAGTTTATATATTAAATATTATGCGTTAAATACATAAAAAAGCTTTTTCTATGATTCGAGGTTAAAATTTGATAATTAATCATTTTGAGCTTGTCAAATTAGTGACACTATAATATATTTTATTTTATTTCAAGAGATAATGATATACTTATCATTTTAAAATCCTAAATTTGCGTGACTATAGCATAGTGTTCTTTATAACAATAACATACTTTAAAAATATTAATCAATTAGATGTCATCATAAAACTTTATTCTATCTCGTCTCCTTCAATAAGTAACCCTTGATAAAGGCTTTCCTTCCAGAACCTTCGAGGATGACATGTTCTACTTCCTAAATACGAGAATGTTGCGGTGTCAACTGCATATTTGCCTACGAACTACTACTAATTAAGAATCACAATTTAGTCTGATTTTTATGAAAGAGACACGTCAACTCAGCACAACAGACTGAACTTCCTAGGTGTTACGTGGCCCAGCAAAGCCGTCAAATGGAGGCATAGATGGCATAAAGTCTGGCTCACCACGTGTGGATGCAATTAGTGATTCAGCAGCTTACCCAGCCAACCGAAGTCCGTAACTAAATCGAGTATTTAAGTATACCCTCTGTCAGCTCTATATTATTGATTGATTATCGTACTAAAACTAATTGTTTGTTCACCTCATTAGATAAAAAAACATTAATTAAAATTTTCATGTATTATTCTTACAATTATTTTTCTTAAAAAAATATTCACGTTTATTTGTAAAATTTCAAAGAAGTTTTTTAAGATGTAAATTAGTAAATTAATCTTCTTATTTATGATTCTTTAATATGTGTATAAAGAAAATGATCAACTAATTAATATGGAATGGAGGAGTATTATAATACTTAAAATTGATTTAAAGTCCAAATTACAACTCCCTTCATTTAAAGTTCAAAAATAAGTGAATTATTAATTTTTATTTTCTTATTTACCCTTCATTTAATGAGATTTTTTAAAATTATAATTTTAAAAAATATATTTGGAAAAAGTAACATATATCTGAAATATTTTTCTAATAGAGTACACAATAATTCAATTAATATGGAGCAGAGGGCTGAGGGAATAGTACTTTTTTTTGGGGTTAAAATTAAGGAATTGTACTTAGAATCACTATTTATAAAATTTATTATTAGAAATATAGTCCAATTCGGAGTAGTAGTTACCTCCGAATGAAGGAAGCTTCCATCTATATATAGGAAGTCCTACGTTCTTTCCAGAACTTACGAAAGATATTTTTTTTAAGTAACTACAGAACCTACGAATATGTCAGATGGGCCAATTTTTCCCAAAATAGCCACGTGTAGTAATCAGAGTTGCTCATTACGTGGCCTACATATGAGTTAACTTGGTGTGCAGTAAGCGTTCCAGCTCACCCCACCGCAGCCACATATACCCAAAACGAAATCTATAAATAAGCACACAACTACAACAAATTTCAGCTTATTTTATTTCAGAAAAAGATTCTATCAAGATTCAAGAAAATGACTGTTATACCCTCGCACAAAATTTGACTGAAAATCAACAACTTTACTACATGTTGTCAGCTCTCCGACATGTTGTCTCCGGCGACGGCGACGGTGAAGCTGCTCAGCTTTTGTTGGAAGTTCAAAATGGTAGTGGTGGTTCATCCACGTCAGGTAATTCAATGCCACGTAGGAGTATTAATAATGTGGAGTTGGGGAAGGGGAAAAAGAGGAGAAGGAGGAATACGAAAAAGGAATTTAGGGGATGGGGAAAATGGGCCGCAGAGATACGTGACCCGCACCGAGCACAACGAGTTTGGCTTGGTACTTTCATTACTGCGGAAGATGGTGCTAGAGCTTACGATAAAAAAGCAATAGAATTTAGAGGTGAAAAGGCTAAAACCAACTTTCCTATTACGGAATATGCTAGCTGCTACTGCGGTTAATGATGAGATTAACAAGTTGACAACTGTAGTAATGGAAGAAGAGAAAGAATTATTAGTATAAGTCCTTAATGGTGAAAATAGTAGTAGTAAAATGGTGATCATGACGACGACTTTTGGGAGACGTTAGAAGATGATATATAGACTTGTCAAATGGATCACACAAGATATGTTTCTCTGTATGAAATTATCTTTATTTCTTTGGGTTGTTTTTTCGTTTCCTTCAACTTCATTTGCGTGGCTACCAAGGAGTGGTAGGCAATATCTTGTACACTCTAGTATTTAGTAATGTACTCAAGTGTTAAAAGAGGGTGCAATCATATTATTATATTTAAAAAAATAATATAATCTAATTTGATTACTTGGTACAAATTTTAAGAATATTTTTTGAAAAAATTCTAATGGTTTTAAATACACAAAAGTACTTTTCTAGCTATTTATCAAGTTTATGCGATATGACTACTATATATATATAGAATATTTTTTGAAAAAATTCTAATGGTTTTAAATACACAAAAGTACTTTTCTAGCTATTTATCAAGTTTATGCGATATGACTACTATATATATATATATATATATATATACTAGTAAAATTACCATTTAATATGACGAAATTTATAAAATAATACTTAAAACTATTAGTCATTAAAACTAAAACATTATATTATCTTACATACAAGATTATATAGTAACAAACATTAATAATGTAGTGAAAAATGAAAATTATTACATCTTATCATTTATCATTAATAACATAAGCATAAATTAATGACTGTAAAAATACATACCAGGATCTGTAACATAAGCAATGGTGTTAGTGAGCCACACAACAGGAGCAAAGTACACAAATATTTAATTGTGAAGAAGAAGAAGAAGTGATTCAGAATTTTCGTTGTTTTAAAATGAGAGGAAAATCATCTATTTATAGACAACAAAGCGTAGTACAAACAAATGTTTAGTGTGCCTAATAAAAAATGTTACAACTATTTGGAAAAGTTGTAACCCTTCGAAAAGGTCACAACCTTTCATAAAAGTTATAGTTTTTCATAAAAGTCGAAACTCTTCATTAAAGTTGCAACTTTTCATAAAAATCATAACTTTTCATAAATGTCACAACTTTTCATGAAAGGGAAAGGCTAGTTTTAGAAATAATTAATAAATTAAAAGGGAATTATGGTTTGTGATGGCGCCACGTAGACGGGCCTAAGGTTCTCTTTATATATATATACTTATTTATACACGCTATCTTAGATTAAAATTTTAATATTATTTTAATCTAACACCTAAAATTTGTAAAGTTAATAATATTTATGTGTATTCACTTAATATATAATTTGATAATTTACTATCGAAAAAATGCATACATATAACTAGGGGTGTTTACGATTTGAAAAAAAAGTCGATCCAAATAAAAAAATAAACCAAATCGATTAAATAAATTGCTTTTATTTGGGTTGGGTTTTATTTGGTTCTAGATTTTTAAAAATAGATAATATTTGGTATGACTATGGTTTTGTTTTAAAAAATTGAAGAAATAATCGAGCCGAACAGACAAATTATATACATACATTTTATTATTACACATACATAATATATTGTTTTATAAACAATTTTAACGATCTAATATATGTTTTCATCAAAATTTATTTAGAAATTTACGTATGACACCAAAATGCCCAAGGTGAGAACATTTATCGTATTCGTTTCATGTATATGAGTTTCTATGACAATTGTGGGATTGAAAATGTCATTTTTTCTTCCTTACAAGCTAAAATATTGAATTTTGAAGCTTTATTATAGTAAATTTAGGGTATGTTTGGAAAGTCACAAGGTAATTGGAATTGGTATAATTACTAGGGTAGTAATTACCAACCTAATAATTACACAGTCTAGTAATTACACTGACCTATTTGGTTGCCACAGTACTGTAATTACTAATGTCTTGTTTGGATCGCACAATATAATTACACATGTAGTGTTTGGATGCACAATTGCAATCATAAAATTATATTAAATTTTAAAAATTAAAATTAATTATTTAAAATTTATACTAGACAAATAAGAAACTTTATAAATGATATTAAATTAAATATTTAGGATATATATTCTTTTTTGAAAATATATTAATTAATAAACATATGTTCTTAACTAATATTATGAAAAAATTATTGATTTATATTTTTTCAAATTAATATATTTCAATTGAATTGATCATAAAAACTAAAAGTATGAAGTTTCTACGAACATACTGAAATGCATGTTTGATAAAACGATTAATATATAAATAAAATGTCATAAATTATTAAATGTTCGACAAAAAGATAATCTATCAAGTGTAATTAAAAAATGACTTGCAATGTGAATTCAATATTACTAAAACAAATGAAACTAAAAATATAACATAAGTTATAAATTCAAAACAAAAAACTTAACATAATACTCTTATAGCAAATTTCAACATAGCATACATAAATATGATTTATTTTATTTATTTTTTAAAAAAAGAAAACGTAAGTCTATAACCTTACTTAACAATGAATTCTATTTTAATTTAAAATTAGAATACTAATAAAATTATGTTAATGAGAAAAAATAAGCATGGCATAAAGAAATAGATAATACGAAAAAAATACATAGAATCACGTGAAGTAAGGTTGAGAACGAGAAGAAAATAAAATATAATAATATAAAATAAAAAATAAACTTTTAGAAAATTTTAGAATAATAAAAATAAAAATAGAACATAAAATAATAGAAGTAAAAAAAATTAAAAAAAAAGAAAAGAAAAAAAAGTAATCAACTGGTAATTACACCATGTAATTACCAGCAATTCACAACCTCTATCTGTGAATTGTAGAGTGTAATTACCCCCTGCCAATTACACCAATTACCTGCTGATCA